TTTGTGATATATCGAGGTGGAAGTTTGTGGATGACACAACAGTTGCTGAAGTAGTTAGTAAGGACACAGAGAGCCGTGTTCAAGTCGCAGTTGATGTTGTGGAAGATTGGTCGAAGGCAAATGGGCTATCTCTTAACACTGAGAAATGTAAAGAACTGAGAATCGATTTTAAAAAAATTAAACAACATTTTGATCCTGTACTGGTGGGTGGAGAAGCATTGCCTATAGTTGAGAGTGCAAAAATATTGGGTCTTGTTATGACAGGCACACTTCAGTGGAAAGATAACATCAGAGAGAGTATAAAGAAAGCTAATAAACGCCTCTATTTTATAGTACTATTGAAACGGGCAAGCGTAAATGTCAATGATGTCTTGAACTTTTATTGTACAGTGATCAGGCCTGTGCTCGAGTATTGTGCGCAAGCCTTCCATCATTCCATCCCAAAGTATTTGGCAGACGAACTTGAGACTGTCCAGAAACGTGTGCTAAAATTTTATCTCCTGAAATGACATATTGTGAGGCCCTTGAGTATTTTAGACTGCCTACTCTATTTCAAAGAAGAGAGGACATGTGTGACAAACTCTTTACGAGTATCATCAAGGATCCAATGCATAAACTTCATCATCTGCTGCCCCGAAGAACGAGACTGATTATTCTTTCAGGACGAATCGGTATTTTAATATGTACGTTACACGCACGAACCGCTTTTATAACTCTTTTATCCCTGCTATGTGTAGGAAGTTTGTAGGATAGATTTTATGCTTATTTTAATCGAATTTTGATCGTGGGTGGGTTTTTATAATATTGTATTAATAATATATTTATATGTAGTGCATGTGATAATATGTAATCCACGCAATTCAGCTTCTGGCTGCAATGTGGTTTCAATTTAATAATAATAATAATAATAATATAAAACTATACTGATATAAAACTATATCATGAAACTACTTATATAATATAGCCACTCTATAGGGGTAACAGTTTTATAGAAGTGATACTGATATATTTGCCCAATATACTTAATAGTAAAGTACGTTTATAGTTGAGTTATGAATGTATGGAAAACTATACATGCATTTAAATTTAAAATAGCGACTAACCTCACTGTCAGAAAAATCCATTCTCTGTTAGTACTCCAACTCTTGAAATTTAGTCTTAATTCAACCTTTGGCTTTGCAGCTGCACTAAATGCCTTTTCAAGTAGAAAATTGTGTATATTAAAGGATTTTTTCATATTTTATTAATGCGTGTATATATTATAACTGCATGCTTTTAACTTAATCACAATGAGGGAGACTGCACGTCGAGTAATTTCCATGGAGAAAAGTAATTAAGGCTTTAAAGATAAAGGCCGGCCAAACATATCTGGGCCATTAGGCATTAATTATAAGATAAGTTTGATAAGATCTAAATACCGCTGGGAAAATCACGAAAATAAAACAATATGCGAGAACGTATATGATGGGTATGTATAAAGAAACTATACATGAATCAGACAGATAGAGGAACACAACTGATTATGGAAAACTTACCATATCGAGGGGCAATTCCATTTTGCGTTCGTATTGTGCCCCGGCGGCGTTAAAATTTCTTGCGGGCTCCTGCCGACACGTTTCTCTTCGAATTTTGTATTAAACTCAATTAAACTCTATTACAGTTAAAAAAATGTGAAATTTCAAATACATTTCCAACAAAAATGTTCCTTTCAAACTTACATAATTTGAAAGCTTGCAAAAAACTACATATAAGACATTTAAACGGTTACCAGGGTTTTTCAAGTTCTTCTTGAGCTATGAGCTGTTAAAGGAGCTGTTTTTGGCGATACTAGTACCCAGGATTTTTGCGAGATTTGGGCTTATTTTTCACATTTGTAACAGCAATATCGAAAACCACTTGAAAATCCCAGCTAACCATTTAAATGTAGTTTTTTGTAAGCTTTCTATATAGTTTAAATACAAAATTCGAAGAAAAACATGTCGGCAAGAGCCTACAAGATATTTAACGCCTCCGACATACAGAAAAGTGCCATCCTACTAGCCTTCGGGGCACAAGATGAAGAAAAAGTTAAATTGCCCCTCGGTATGGTACGTTTTTCCCCCCCGTTCTATCTGCCTGACTACAAATGTGATGCCACTGTAACGTGCATGGGTATATCAATATTTTTGGGCATCTCACTCGACAGAACACAATTGTTAAGAGTTTAAATTGCTTTTGTAGATGGAAATTTCGAGTATAAATTTTATGCATTTTTTTTTTTTTTTTTTAGTTTGTTTAATAAAAACATCATCTGGCAGTCAGAAGACTGAATTACATGACGTTAAGTGTTACAAGGTTATAAATAGTAAAAAATTCTATATTACAATGCAATTTAAAAATTGTTAATATATACTATATATCATATACTTAAATGTACTAATCTATATGAGTTAAAAATTCTAAAATGTTCAAGGAACATCTAATTTGTAATGTTTCTTAGCATAAAAGTTGATAAAAGAGTTTCCGAAACGATTTGTATTTGCTGGTAAAACTTCAAAAGATCTTTCTTTTCGTAATTCTCTATTGCCTGCTTTGGATGGTAAAAGTTTGGCAAGTTTATGATCATCATTTAAAACAATGTCGTTGAAGAGATTATTGGATAGATACTCCCGTCTGTTTTCAAGAGTGGAAATACCAGCGATGTTAAGAGCCTCGTCGTAAGACAATTAATAGAATATTATTTTCATTGCTCGCTTCTGTATACGTTCAATGTTTTTTGCAAGATTTCGTGGCAGGGAACTATGGAATAATTGGCACGCATATTCGAGGACAGACCTTATACAGCTGCAAAAAAATTTGACCAAATCTGCCGAAGCGACATCAGCACGTTTGAGTTGCCTCAACAAATATAAACGTTTAGCTGCTTTGGAGACAATTGAATTTACATGGTCTATCCATTTAAGGTAATTTCTTAATATAACTCCAAGCGATTTGATACTTGTCACTCTTTCCAAATTTCGGTCACCAATACGTATAGGTTCAAAAACAGGTGGTAATCGTGAAAAGGATATTACCATTTCTTTGCATTTAAATGGGTTTAGTTGAAAGGAATTGTCCATAGACCAAGTAGTAATATCATCGATATCCATTTGTAAAGTACTTTGTTCGTTTTTTTCAACAATTTCAGAGACCGTAGTATCGTCGGCAAATTTCCACATTTCTGAAAGGTGATTATGTAACACAAGGTCATTTATCATGGCTAAGAATAGCCAAGGCCCAAGTCGTGTGCCTTGAGGGACACCAGCTGGAACTTGGAGCCAGTCTGAGAAACAATTATCACTTAGTTTGACCCTTTGCCATCTATTACGTAAAAAGTCAATAATCCAGTTAACCACACAGGGCTTAATACCAAGGCTGAATAATTTCGCAACTAATGTGGTGTGATCCACCATGTCAAATGCTTTTTTATAGTCAAGAAATACAGTGCGAACAGATGAACCACTTCCATCTGTTGCACTCAACCAACAATGGAGCATCGATATCAAGGCAAGTACAGTGGAAGAATTTGGAATAAAGCCAAATTGTTGGGGATCAACAACCTTTAACAGAGTTGGTTTTACTTCTCTTTCGATTACAAGACGTTCCGCTATCTTTGATAGAGTGGAAGTTAAGGAAATAGGTCGTAATTCCCTTTCCAAGTCTTTGACAGTAGATGTTTTTGGTAAGGGGACCACATCGGCCAGCTTCCAAATTTGAGGGACTTTACAGCTTTGAAAGGAAGAATTGATTATATTTGCAACTGGTGAGGCGAGAATATCCGAATAGGTTTTTAAAACCCAATTGGAAATACCGTCAGGGCCACTGGAACGCGATGTATTAATTTCTTGCAATTTTCTAGCTATAGTTGACTCGGTCACAATAATAGGCGTTTCATCGTTGTGTACAATTACAGCCGTATCTTCAGATAATGGAACATAGTTCTGTATCACATTTATAAAACATTGTTAATTTTATTACTGAGGTTTATGTCTGTCTCCTGCCATAAATCTTGATGGAGGCGGTCTTTTACACTTTTGTTGTTTAGTTTAGATGTGCCACACAACTGCTTCACTTCCCGCCACCAATCTCGGGGGTTAGTGTTACGTAATGTCGTATGTCCAGGAGATTCCGACCTATAATAGGCAATTCCAGCTGTACAGGGTGTATAAAAAAACGAACAGACTTAAAATTGCTCTCAATTTCGCAAAACAGCTATTTGTATCTGTTTTTTTATATATATATAGCTTCTTTGGGTACTTATGATGTAAAATAATGAAAAAAATTTCTCGAACTCAAATTTTGTGAACCAGGGGGGTGTATCTTTTCCAACAAACTAAAAATGGCTGCAATCATATTTTGAGCTGCAGTCATATTTTGAGTTAACAGATGGAAAATTTGTCTGGATTTTAATTACTGTACAAAATTTCAGACAATTTGGTTTAGTTTAAGCCCCTTAACGTACACTATTCACGCAAAGTTACAATTTTCCCGAAAAATCAGCTATTTGCATGCTTAATTAATGCATTTGCCTAATTTGCATATGTCAGCAATATGCAAATTAGGTAAAGGCATTAATTAAGCATGCGAAAGGCTGACCTTTTAGAACAAAATGAATAGTTAAAGGGCTTAAACTAAACCAAATTGTCTGAAATTTTGTACATGCAGTAATTGAAAACCCGACAAATTTTCAATCTATTAACTCAAAATATGATTACAGCTTTTAAATTTTGTGCGCGAGCCATTTTTAGTTTGTTGGAAAAGACACATCCCCCTGGTTCACAAAATTTGAGATCGTAAATTTTTTTTCAATATTTTACATTATAAGTACCCAAAGAAGCTATACATATAAAAAACCAGATACAAATAGGTGTTTTACGAAATTGAGAGCAATTTCAAATCTGTTCAGTTTTTTTTGATACACCCTGTAGACTAAATTTTGATCTAGGCAAGAAGAACAAAATCAATCAGTACAGCTAGAAAGAGCATGTTACATCCTCGTCTCCAGGCCCAAGCTCGGGCGGCCCCCACCCGAGCTTGGGCCTGGGGACGAGGATGGAGCATGTTAGTAAAATTGCAAAATTAGTAAAATTGCAGTTTGGTTGCGAAATGTTGTAAAATGAGGAAAATATAGCCCTGTGAAGTTCGCAAATTTTGCATAGATTTGTATTACGCGCGGGAAAAATAACCACTTTCGGCTCAAAAATGGTCATTTTTCACGCGCGCCATACAAATCTATACAAAATTTGCGAACTTCACAGGGCTATATTTTCCTCATTTTACAACATTTCGCAACCAAACTTTGCTATTTTACTAATTTTGACATGCTCTTTCTATAGCTGTAGTGATGGATTTTGTTCTTCTTGCCTAGATCATAAATGTATAAATTTACACTCGAAATCCTTCAACAATGAGTTCATCTATATAAAGAAACCCTGGCTTCATCGTGCATGTTAAAGTGCCTATGACACGAAATTTCACCCCAATGGTTTATGGTTGCATTGTAAAGATCACTTTAAATAACTTAATAATTTCTTTTATAGAATTTTGGTAACTTGCTCCCTTTTCAAGATATTCAACTTTGTTTCATATGCAAATATCACCGGTGTGACATCACATCACATAATGATTAAAAATTGCCTTGTATATGTATTAATTTCATAACTGGTAATTAACTCTCTGTATTTGTTTGTAAAAATATTTTATCAAGGTAAAATATTGCGTTTTCAGAATGTCATTATGCGATGTGATGTCACACCGGTGATATTTGCATATGAAGCAAAATTGAATATTTTGCAAAGGAAGCAAGTTACCAAAATTCTATAAAATAAATTATTAAGTCATTTTAAGTGATCTTTACAATGAAATCATAAACATTTGGGGTGAAATTTCGTGTCATAGGCACTTTAAGGATTGAAATTACCGTCTTATAACAGGTTTTGTGCATAGTTCCATTCCATCCGTATCGTAACTGACGAACATGCATGCACAGCTGAGTTCGACGTTAAATAGTTCTTTTTCAAACTTAATTAAAAGTCATTGACGACGCAAATTTCTGTTGCATGATTTGTTATTTCTTTCAGTTTTTGTATCTAGCTCATTTTAGTTCAATATTCTTCTTTAGGTATATTAAATACGGTTTAGTAATATAAAACTAGATAATTTACGTCTAACACTATATCCCGTGACCCGCCACAAAATGTGTTAACCGATAGCCGACAAACACTGAGTTTCAACTGCAAGAGACCATAGATATCTATGCAAGAGACTCAGAAGTTCTTATCTTTTCACTGTTATAATTGCGTTCCATTTCAAGAGGGGTTGGAGCTAAACATATCGATGAAAAAAATATGACTAAAATATCATGAAAATCCTTCTAAGCCTTTTTATAACCTTATGAACCGCAAAACTCAAAGTTGCAAACAATTTGAACTTCGTGACCGCGTGTGACATAAAACTGACATGTGTAAACTTCAGTTTTTTGGCATTAATATTGTAATAGATGTTATGAAACTCTCTTCGCTTTTAAGTGCGTGCATGCATGTGTAAATAATGTACATGTACTTGGAAAACACAATAACGAAACTTTTAAACTTTGGGGTTTGGCACCGACCGCAATGTGTAGATATAGAAAACCGCGTTGTTGTCGATACTCGCGTAAAATCTATGATTACGGGGCTGCTTATATGAAGCGAACCATACTCGACTGACCCAAAATCGGACGGGTGTATTTTCCATATAACGCAACGACCGAGACTGACCCGCCTATAAATATACCCAAGCCATAGCTCATAGCCATACAGGAAGGTTCCGGATGACTGGTTTTAGGGTTTAGAGGAATTCTTGCCTGGAAAGTTTGAAATCTAAACTTTTCTGAAAGCATTTTCTGCGTGTGAGCGAAGATTTGTCGACGTGTGTCATTTTTCATTTTGGGCAGCGATAAATGTGACACATTTGTTTTAAACTTTGCCACACTAGTATTCAGTCCAGCTGCTTTGGTTTCATGGTTTGGCAAGCAAGCACGCCTGAAAAGTCTCCGACACGGATAAAATTCGTCTCGGTAAAAGCATAACTATAGCTATGAATCAACCAACTTTGTAAGATGCAGGAACAATATTTTAAACCAACGTGCGTCAGGCCTTTATTTTTCTGACGGCGAGCGAAGAAAAATGAAGTACAACCGGATTTCGGTTGTAGTTCTGATGGGTTATTTCTACAGCATGAATATCAGGCCATATATATTTAATTGTGTCGTGACTGTCGTCTTAATTGGTTAATGCTAATTAGATAATCATATATTTAGTGGGTAACTATAATTAGATTCTTGCCGTGACATTTCTCCTGGGACATTTAGATTGGATGGAAAGCGAATGGATGAAGACTTATGTAATACAGAGTGTGATCGCAGGTTAATTTAAAACAAGTTCAAAACGGATGTTACTAGTTATCTCCCATGATTAGATTAGATTAGATTAAATATTACCAGGGACACTTCATTTTGTTAGAAAAAATGTTTCGGCGATAGTGTTTGATCACGTTGACAGCCCAAGAATAAATTATTCTAATTATTAGAGAATAAATTATTCTAATTAATGTGAGTAAAAATTAAATATTGGAGTATAAAGTTGTAGTGAAAATAAATTTCTGTTAAAGCTGCTCTCACAATGCAAGAAATAGTGTTTCTAAGCCATAGAAAATAAAATTTTCTGTGGGGGCATGCCCCAGATCGCCCCCCCCCCCACTAAAGATTCATAAAGCCTTCGGTGCTCGATTCGGTCAATCTAAACTCCTATAGTTATGGTCCTTGGTAAAGGCTCTGTCACACCATTGCGTATCGTACTAGCGCATGCCAGCGTATGAAAAATATCACTCATACGCTGGAAAACGCTGACATACGCTAGTGGTACGTTAGGCATAGGTTGTATACGTTTCAAGCACGGTCGCATACGGTGATATACGCTGGCATACGGCGAGGCAGAAACTTTTTTAAAGGATGCTTAAAATTTTGTGCGTATTCGGACGTATGGTTAATACGATAAGCATACTCTAGGCGCACGCTGAATACGCTAGAGGTACGCCAGATGTACGTACTCTGCATACGCTGGCATTTCAAAGGGTTTTTGTGCGTATGAAAATTATTTCATTAATTTTCATACGCTTCTCATACGTTTCTCTCATACGCAAAAAGTGTGACAAGGCCTTAAAGGAGAGCTAACTCGGTCCCTATAACTCCTGACGGAAGGCACTCCTTCGAAACGAAAAAGGATTCTCACTATGTCTATGTGGCAATGAAAATGAAAATGCATGATAACTATTTCTTACTATAAGAAATCAACAATACAATTATTTTTGAAATGCTAAATCAAACCAAGAGGTGCAAGAACATTTTATCTGAAGAATTATGTTACAATAACATTTACATTTTTTTCTTCTGTGTTGGTGTTATGTACTCAGATGAATATGATGCTTGTGATGTTACTCTGAGTGTATATCCACACCGGGCAAGCTTGGAAAATATGCCTGGCCACGGTGGGAATCGAACCTACGACCTTTGGAATACTAGCCCAATGCCCTGCCAACTGAGCTACGCGGTCATTTGTTACCAGGAATCTACAATCTTGGGCATAACATGATCATGAGACTACCTTCTCCTCTATACGAAATTCGCATGCCCCCTACGATAAATTCCATGGAAAGTCATGTTGCGCATTTAACACCCCGCTCCCCCAAATCAATGTTGACTGTAAGCTAAGCTGCAAAGTTAAAAGGTTGGACAGAAGGGGAATTGCTCATATTGCTGCATGCGAAGAGCTATGTTAACTGACTGTACATGGAGTTACAGTACAAATGTTTAGCTACCGTACAAAATAATTTATAATAAGGAAAAAAAACAACTTAGCAGTTCAAATGTCGTCTGCAATTTTTCTTCTTTTCGCATCATCATTTCTTTCGTCTTTGCACTTTTGGGCCATAGCGTTTTTTTTCCTTATTATAAATTATTTTGTACGGTAGCTAAACATTTGTAGAAATTAAGTGTAAAAATAAATTATTTGAACTTCCTGCATATATATTTCACTGTTTGACAAGTTTAAATGTGCATGTGTGAAGCTTTGCATAATTTCACATGTGGAACTGGAACATGTGAATTTGGAACATGTGAAGTTTCACATGTGAAATTATGTGTTTCAAATGTGAAATCATGTGAATTTGGAACATGTGAAACACATAATTTCACATGTGTTTCACATAACTTCACATGTGAAAAATCACATGCATGTTCCAAATTCACATGTGAAATTTCACACATATGAAATCATGTCGAATTTTTGTAAGGGAATGATAACCTGATACAGTATGTAATTATTTAATTGAACATGATTTATTTACACTTTCTATTATATTATTCCTCTTTTTGTATATTGTTTTATGTTTGGTAGTAAATTCAAGTAACAGTTGTAACTATTAATCAATACATAATTATCAGATAAATGCAATTAAACTAATTACTAAATATATACATTAATATTTAAATAATTTATATTATGATATATTGCATTGGGCAGATACACAGACGTACAATTGTCCACCCGTATTACAAATACTGCTTCAATAACTACATTAATCAGCTATATTATTATTAATTGGCTATGTTATTATGAATTAGCCATATTATTATTAATTAGCTATATTATTATTAATCAGCTATATTATTATTAATTAGCTATATTATTATTTGGAATAATGGGGTTGCAAATACTTAGGGTGTAAACTAGTGCAAGAAATTTGTTTTCTAGCCTGCGAACAGGCTCTCTTTCCCAACGAGAACAACGGCAACAATATATCGGGTCCACCTAGACCACAGCATGTTCATTTCAAGGTATTTGTTTTCTATCAAACGTAAACTGTAACCATGGTGAAGATGAACATAATACGCCCTTTAGAAAAGTACTTAGCCTTGGCTACAGAGCCTAGATATTTTGTCTTTGGAGCCTTTTACCTTGTCTCATGACCTAATTATATAATGGTCTTTTGGATCAGTATCAGTTGTAACTGTGTGGTTTCGTAATTGTCTCACCTGCAACAAGATGAAATGGCTCTAAACGCAATTGTATGGCCACTTTCCAGAAGGGTGTATTGGAACTTATTCAGGTTATAGGTTAAGATGCTTTCAGAAATTATTGGAAGGGCAGCCTCCCTCCCCTTTCGCAGCGTATATAAACTAAATAGGGCTATTTATACGAGAGAAAATAAGTCGCGACTTAAGACTCGCCTTATTTAAGTCACGAACACAATCGTATAAAAATGGTCAATTTGTTCGTGACCAATGTAAGTCGCAACTAAAATAAGAACAGGGGTTTATGCTGGTCCAAAATAAGTCGCGACTTAACAGAAATTGACCATTTATACGAATGTTTTCGTGTCTTAAATAAGACGCGAATTAGTTAAGTCGCGCGACTTATTTTCTCTCGTATAAATGGCCCTAATGTGTTTATCTGATTAATTTGCTTGGATTTTCAAAAAGTAACAAACACTGATCATCATCAAATAGTGCTTCTGACGAAATGAACAATACTATACAGTGCACTTCATCAGCGTATACAGGGTGTCTAAAAAAAACGCTATGGAAATTCAACAGGCTGTCGTGCATCATGAACGTGGCTAAACAATTAAATTTTTACATAGGACGAAAGAACAGTTATTTAGCTTTTCAATGATACTCTTTTAAATCGTAACGATGAGAAATGGCCACATACTCGTCAAATAAAAATTGCCGGTCGAACAAGAACCTTGCAGCAGACTCGCGGTACTTTTGGATTGATTAACTTTGCATAATTAATGTATTTTCAATTCCCAACGGTGGAAGAATGTGATTTCGACCGAAAATGTTTATTTGACGAGTATATGGCCATTTCTCATCGTTGCGGTTTAAAAAAAATATCATAGAAAAACTAAATAACAGCTCTTTCGTCCTATGTTAACATACTATGAATTGTTTAGTTAATTGTGATGCACAACAGCCTGTTGAATTTCCATAGCGTTTCTGAGTTCCACGGCTGCTTTTAATTAACCGTAGCCGAGCTATGACGATGACGTGGAACTTGTTTTCCGTATAGTGCTGACTACGGACAAGATTTTCATCGAATTTTTAGCCAGTAAGTTGAGAACTTGTAAGAAAAAAAAAGAAAAAAGACAAGAAAGAAAAAAGACAAGAAAAACAAGAAAGATGATGACATTGAAGATGTTTTGATGTTGCCTGACTCTTCAGGTTTTGTACATCGCCAAGAAATGCGACTCCTAACTTATACTACAAGGACAAAAAACCCTGTTTTCATATAGTTGTGTTGTTCTATCTATAAAGTGCTCCGAGTGCAGAAGACGACGGCGTGTCGGCATGTGCAAACTTTTACCATGTCCATGTGCAAATTTTTTGGCATGTACCAAAACCCGAAACAACCGGAACGAAACCCCCGGAACGAAACCAGCGAAACAACCGGAACAAGAACAAATTATTTAGGTCTCATACAGACAGTGCATCTAAATTACACATCAAAAATTGGCTACTACTTCACGGATTTTAGTGAGCATGAGAAAATCACACTGTACACATATCGCTTTTCTCTTCTATAATTTTCTTAAAATGTCCCTCGCCTTTAGAATCTACAAAACAATTATACGGCCTAGTTTTCACCTGATTGAATTTAATAAACAAATGGTACTGTTTTCATGCAAATTTGAAAAGAAAATAGCTTTGTTTCATTTAGCTTTTCCATGTCTTCCACGCTTGCCATTACGATAAC